TCTGTGTGCATTTCCTACAGGAGATTTGTTTTTTATCCTTGTGTACTATTTCATACCATTTAAGTGATTTATAGCTTATGAATCTCACCTCTCTTCATCAAAGATAAAAAGACGTAGGAACTATCTTTATCTACAGAAAAATAAATAGGGGACTTATTTTCCTTTATATGTTATAATCTGCACCCAGTGGTAGGCTATAATTGATGTTAGGATGAATTGCAATTAAATGTAAAGTTTCTCTTAGGGACACGGGTTTTTAATTCCACGTAGGTACTCACTTCTATACCGAATGGAAAGACTTTAAAGTCAGATCTGAACATGGATCTTGGCTATGACACTGAATTTAGTCATATGACCGTAGAGCCATGGTTGGTTTCTGTAACTCAGCGTCCTCATCTGTAAAGTGGGGTGACAGTCCCCACTGAATCCCAAGTAGTCCTGTGAATAAAACGAGACGTCGCTCCAGACGCAAGAGTCTAGCGGCAACTGGCAAGCAGGAAGGCACTGATTTAATGTGCCTTCCCTTCCCTGGTGCAGCATAATATAATGTGATATTTAGAATTTTAATTCAGGCAATTACTTAAGTAGTAATTGCTATTTGTATTTACATAGCTGCTTTGATCCAAGCAGCTCAAAGGGCTTACTAAATTTAGCATTTTAATAAATGTTTCATTTGCATTCTGTTGGTTCTGTTTACCCACACCAAAACTTGGAATTTCCTGAAGGGAGACAGTCCACAAGTAAAGTGAGCAAGGTAATGTCTTCATGTGTGCAGACGTCCCAGGTCTCACTTCTGTCTCCCTACTAAAGAGGTCGCCACGCCACGGCAGCAATGGGTGAGCAAGGAGGCTGGAACACACCTGCTTCCTCCTGTGCCTCTCCTTCAGCTTTGGGCACGCTCAACTTGATCCCACCGTGCTCCTCCGAGGCACTGACAACAGGGGTGTTTATTGCCCCGATGGCTTTATACGTAATCAGCACAATAAACATTATTAAATTGTCAGGAGCAACGCAAAGCGGGAAGCGTGGCACCGCACTGAATTCTAACGATGCTGACCGTCCACGCTCGCACGGGGACAGGATCTTAACAAGCCTTGATCTGAGTGCTGGCATCCGCCTCACAAATCACATGGGCCGCTCCTCCTCACACGCTGCTGAATACTGATGGACGTCTCCACCCTGCGCAACAGGGAAGTGGGTTTCTATTGGCAATCTTTACCAAAGTGTGTTTCTTCCCTTCTCTACACTCAAGGGTTTACCCTGAATGATTTAATTATAATTTTCCTTGTGTAAGACAAATTAAAGAGGAGAGTAGGAGTGTCGTGCCAAGCACATTATTTATCTCCTTAACAGATTGCAGCTCACCAAACCCCAGAGCTACTGCTGCGGCGGCGGTTGCTCACAGACGCTGAAAACCGAACGGGGCAAGAGCGGGAAGGCGGAGGTTTCCAAATGGCATGGAGATATGGGAGCCAGGTAAGAGCCTTACACGGCCCACGACTTTGAAGGACAAAAAAAATTCTCTCTCTTTCTCTCTCCAACCAGTTTTCACATACAACACTTCCTAGATCTTTTCAGGAAAACAATCCCCTGAAGGCTGCTAGCGGAGGACGGAGTTTGCCAGGCTGGATAACTGCGCACGGTGGCAAGGCCTCTGGCTTGTGCGGTCACTGCTCTAGAGGGTGAAGGGAAAAAGAGTATTCCCTGGCAATCACAGGAGAGCTTGTAAGGATGCATATTTCACAAATGCCCTAGAGAGGAGAATGGGGGGGATAAAAGGTTCCTGGGGCAGTAAGGAGAACTCCTGAGGTGTCTCCCCGACAGCTCGGTGTGCACATGAGAACACACTTCCATGACAAACGCCCCCGATTCCTTCCCTTTGCTACTCTTTTCTACTCACAAAGTGGCCCCCATCTATGAGATTTTAAAACACATCATAATAAGGGGCTCAGGGCTAGGGGCAGACCACTTGCCGAGCATATCCCCAGCATTTCCAATAAATGAATAAATAGTCATTCATGATAAGGTAAAGACATGCTAATACTAAGTTTTAAGTACCGTATCTATATAAGACCAACTTAAAGATTATTGATTGTTGAATGATCAATTTTATAAGCTCAAAGCTACTAAGCTATCTTTAACCTAAGGTATTATAATGAGTTCAAAGTCTGGTGGTACAAGGTGGGGATTTTACCTTTGTGGTCAAGCGTCTGCTTAACATGTACAAGGCCCTGCACTCACCAAACATGAAAACCGAGTGTACTGCTAGAGTCTTCTTTGAAGCCAGCCACCACTGTCCATGTGTCAGATAGCATGAAATGGAACAGTCAAGGGAGTCACTAACATCATATAATTTCCTAGTTCCCTCCTCTCTGCATGTGTAACAAGAACTCAGCCTGTTCTCACATCCAGATTCAGGCTGGTGGAACTCTCAATTCTCTTCTGATCCACAGGCTAATTTTAGCAGAAGATTAAATGCAACATTTGTGCAGACAAATAAGGACCATAAAAAAAAAAAATCAAACAAACTTAGTCTGCAGGAATTAGACTGTTCTTAGATCCACTTACTCTCAAATGTGTCTTAAGACATGAAAAGGCCTATTCTTCTCTGGCTTGCCTCCTTGCTGTTCTACTACCGGACTGCAGATATCTAACCTTTTAGGAGGAAACTGAGCACAGTGCATCTAAACAAGGAGACTTTTCTGTGTCATGGAAAATCTGTGCAGTCTCCACAGCGGCCGACAAGATTGCAACAAATACCTTAAGTGCATCAGTCGGCATTTTTCAGTGCATGGCCTCCTGCTCCGTCTATGGATAAAGATGTAATTCAATCACTCTGCAGTAAATGGACAGCATCAACCTCGGGACAGGGAGAGCCGGTACCCCAAAGGGCAGCAGCCTAGTATCTTTCCGTTAAAGCCATCTAAGGTTTGCTACTTGGAAATTAAAAAGAAAGGTAATAAAGACATTATAAGAGATTCCAGGGGAGGACCGAAGACTGGTTTCCAGGTATACGTATCCTCCACCACTGGAAAGCTAGAGACACAGGAAGCTGTGTTTGGCCCAGGCCACAAACCAGTCCTTCCTGTTCACCATTCTGTTCTTCAAACCCTTCTAGACCACTAAGTTGAAAGTATCTCTTAGTTCCATGCCTACCAGAGACATCCCAAGGAAATCTTCAAGGAGGCTTGCAGTTATTAGTTATAACGCACGTGTTACCCTCATCTCTGAAAACCTCGATGGTTTTGAAGCTCAAATCTGATACAGATTTGTATAAGTGTGTGTGCCATTCAAGAGGGACACATTCGGAGACATGGGCAACTTCACAGGGTATACCCACGAAGACCTGAGTGGTCCAAGATTGCACATCTAGGCTATGTGTGCACATGCAAGCACGTGTGATATAGTCAGTCATCCACCGCTCCTACAGCCCCGACGGGCTGCTCAAAACAATCCACTAGTAAACCAAGCACAAGAACACCATAACGCAACCAAGGCATGAGGTAACACATGACGGAGGAGGCTGCCGCCAGACTAACATGGTGTGGGGACAGTATGGTCAGAGTAGATCCTAAACTAACGATCACCCAGCACAGTACAGTAAGCACCGGCAGCATTATCGCCGTCAGGGGTTATGTCCTGTTTCTAACTGTGTGTGCTGCACATTTCCATACAACTGCCAGCACAACCAGTTCACGGCATGACCACGGCTACAAACCCGGGGGTGATGCCTCCATCTGCACAGCTACAATGGCTACGGTAGCAGGGAAGGGATTTCTTCATCTCCATTATGCTATCTGGTTGCCGCTGCACAGGTGGTCGGTCACACACCAACCCATCACTACACAATTCTGCGGAACCGCACACTGTATTTCAAACAGCATTCTTCTAACACAAACAATGCATACCTAGTTAAAACAGAGGGCAGAGTGCTCAGGATTTCGGAGAACACACGAAGCGATACTGTACTGGCTTAGTTGAGAGATGGAGTTACACTTTCTCACCGAGTCGTTTGGACTTAAAAACAAAATAGAGCGTTTGCTTTTGCCTGATAAAAACATTTTGCCATGAGAAATTCTTGGTAAGGCTTCTTGCCCTCTGTGCCTACAAGCGCTACATGTGAAATATATAGGAAAGGGTCTAAAAATAGTAAACAGAAAAAAAAAAGAAGGGTCCATTTGAGGAGCATTATATATTCCATTTCTGAAGTGTATTTCAGCACTGGCAATACTGCTTCTGGGTGTCACAGAATAAACAAACTGCTTCATCTCCTTGGGGCGTTAAGGAACACAACGCAGTCAGGATCTTAAAAACAGTCCAAGCTTCTTCAACTACTGTTCATCCAAAGCTCGGGGCATTGAAAATATAGAGCCTTAACGTACACACAGGAAGGCGCCAGCTGGGACAGCACCAGCTCAGGGACCACAGGAGAAAGCGTGCTCCGGTCCAACCCACCGTCATCTCAATCCTTCCTCAGGGTCTATGCTGAAAGGCTCGTGCTTCCTTCTGGGACGCACGATGAAGACGACAGACAGGCTCCCCCACTTCCAGGGCGCGCAGGGTTAACCAGCATTAGGTGCTGTGTTTCCTCAAGCCAAGACCTGAAACTGCCCACAGCACACACCACTGTCGCCTTCAAAGGTGCTCAGAGCCAAGGCGCTCCTCAGTTTGTATGGAGTGAGCTCCTGGCAGGGCACACAGTTGGCCTGGAAACCTTGAGAGCCAACCCTTCCAACGAGGAACTACTAGACTTCTGCCAGGGCTCCTAAGCTGAGTGCAGATCTAAGCAAAGTGCTAACTCCATGGTGAAAAGGTGAAAATAATTAGATGCTTCACACCCAAACCATAGCGAACACATTCTGAAGTAATCATATGCGCATCCAAGCCCCGGTGAATACAATTAAGTTTCCCAGAGACAAAGAACTGGGCAAGGCCACCGGCCCCCTTCCTTCCGGGTGGAAGACAGTACTGACCACAGACAGGGGTGGGCATGCTCCTACCTTTCCCTCTTGGGAGTGTGGACCGAGAGTTGTCCATTGGTAGAGGCGTGCGGGTTCATGATGAGGGAGGTCTTGGAAGGTGCTGAGGACGAGACACACGTGCCGGTCAGGTCCAGGCTGCTGTGATTGCTGCCCGTGGTCTCCTCCGCAGTGTGGGCACTTGTCACTTCTTTCCAGAGCTGCTGCAGTTCCGTTGGAATCATGCCTGAAACAAACAAATTGGATAATCAAATCAATTAACAGCTAATTCCGTCCTCTTCAAACAGTAATTAAATCAAAGAGTCAGTAAACAAAGCCTAGTGTTAGGGGGGCTTTGGGGTGTTCACACTTTCCTTTTTTCCCTCCCAACGATGGCAAGTACGGTAGTGATAAGTACACCCTCCCACTGAGCAGCCATTGAAGTCCCCTCTTCACACGGAAGAGACACCTTGAAAAGGATGCAAAGCACAGCTATTCTGTAACAGCATGGCTCCCTCCACCCAAAGGCTGTTTCCCAGGTCTAGGGGAGTAGAGACAAGCTAGCTTATTTCTAGGCACACAGGAGGCCTCCAAACAAATTTGTTCAACTATAGTCTCATGACAACATGAACCACAAAATGAGTAATTTTTGTGCTTAACTCTTAAATGATGACAAATAGCTTTGTTATTAAATATAGTTTTTATTAATCACTTTTAGACATAAATTATGAATTCATACCGTCTTCCTGAAATGCTTTTCAACTTTTAACAGTCAAATTGATTATACTATGATTATTTCATTAACACACCTATCTTCCTCATTAATTTTGGTTTCTAGTACCACATGCTTAATTGATGGATGTGTCTACTGAAGACTGTGTAACTTTTTATACAAGTAACACTATTATTACTGTCATTTCTGAGATCAATGCTAATGAGCCATTGCAGAGTAAAAATGGAAAGGAAAATAAGCTTAGAGTAATAAAGTTCTCTTGCCTGTCTGAGTGGGGTCAAAATGGGCAGGGGTCTTCAAAACATACTTGTCAACCTTTATTTCCTCTAAGATCAGACTATGTTAACCTCATCACCGTGGACCTTTGTCACTTTACCTTATCCAGCAAAGGTCTACAGGCCAGACTTCCCAAATTCTAGTTCAATGTATAGTTTAGGAGGGTGTAAATGCCCAGAGAGACAGGATCTGAACTGCAACTAGGAACAGCAGAGGCCACACTGTCCTCTGAATGAGGAAAAGCTGCCACACACCCTGCACATCACAAGGCAACTCCACCTCAGAACTGCATGTCTGTCTGGTCTGCAGTTCGCTGTCTCCATCAGCTGGAACACAGCTCTCTTAGAAAGCCAGCCATCTTCTGGCTAGACAGCAGCAGCCGAAACAGGCTTGTTTCTTACCAAACCAAAACGTATTAGATTGAAAAAAAAAAAAAAAAAAAAAAAAAAAAAAAAAGGCTGCGTGCATTATATTCATTTGAAACACATAATAAAAAAAAATGCCAAGGTCTAAATTTAATTTATTTTTGTCATTTAGAATACAATGGCTAGATAATCATCTCAACGTGATCAGCCAAACATCTTTACTTTGCTAAACTGTTAAAGATTTTAATTATGCTAGCATTGGAGAGCACTGGTCTAATGAGGCGATGGACTCCAGAGAATCCGAGTGGTTAAGAACTGTGAAATGAGTCTGATAGGATTTTTTTATATTCACCGTGGATCGTTTGCATATCAAAGAGGAGTAAATTATTGCACAGCAGACCAATAACCTTCCCCGCCTTTCTAAGAGGAGCAGTGACAAAAACAGTCGGTCTCTCCACGCAGTGCTCCGGGAAAATGTTCAAATGCTCAAGTATTTGCAATTAATATATATTATAAAGGAAGCATCAAATAATACATTGAGTGGTCAGAGATCCTTCAAATGCATCCTCGACAGCTGAGTGGGTTTCCTTCTCCCTTCATAAAAATCAAATGCCAATTATATTTTGATGGATTTTGTCCCAAATGAGCATTTAGTTATTAGGCATATTCAATTATTCCTTGTCCCCTGAAATCAAACCTTGAGGCAAATTAAACAAAGAGAAAGGTCACGACACAATCCTGGGTAGGGTTTTGCTGCATGTGAGCTATTATTTTCAAACACCTTTCAAAGTGACAGGTAGGATGTGCCTAGAGCTGCCAGGTCTGCCGCTGTGATCCGGACACCGACAATTACGGGTAAACAAAGCTGACCCTTGGACCATGGTGTACTCAATTGAAACAACGGGGAGCAGGCTGGTCTGCGGATGAGGGCGCCTTGATATGGAGCCATATCAGTCAACACCTATTTTTATTTTCCAGTGAGTAAGCACAGGAAAAGAAACAGCCACCTATTTTTCAACTCAGACTAATTGATTTCTGGGTCAAGTGCAAGAGTAAGAACATGGGTCTGCGGACTGCTGCCCTCATACCTTCCTTCTGCGAAGAGCAAGATCAGAGGCTATTCCAAAAGGACCTCACTCCTCTGGCAAATTAAGACCGAGACAAACGTGTTCACCGCTTGTTACACCTGTACAGTGCACTGGTGGGATTCTGGTTTTTTCTTTTATTCCAGGAGGCTGGCAAATCAGGTTCAGTGTCCACATGGACCAAGCAGAGAGAGGGACCCGATGAGCAACAACAGGTCTTTTGAGACCAAATGTCCATGTGATCATTAGGCTCAGAAACATTCTTAATGGACTGAAGACAGAAGCCGTTGGTTCAATTCCTCCTTTTTAGCTCACTGTGATTCAGTGACTCCTAGCCACTCCAGAATGCCTGCACCTCACGCCAGCATTGGGACAGACAGCAGCTAAACCGGTACCCATCAGTCTACATGGATGCTCCATTTTTAGGAACCATGTGTTTCTTCCAGAATGGTACAGGAAGAGTATCAAGTTAGACAAGTCCATTAATTGGTATATAACCAAGTATGTAGAGTTTACATTTTAAAAAAATGAAAAGGTTGCAGTAGCAGAAATGGGACAGTTCTGTAGGGAACTATTGGGATTAAGGACCATCAAATGCTGAATGAAACTGGTAGAGAACAGACAGACTTATTATGGCAAACAGAAAGGAAGCTCTAGAACAGAGGTCCTCAACCCAGGGTTGAATGACCCATTCACAGAGATTGCCTAATTTCATTAACAGCGGCAAAAATGACAGTCATGTGGTAGCAATGAAAATAATTTTATGGCTGGGGGTCACCACAACATGAGGAACTGCGTTAAGGGGCCACAGCGTTAGGGAGGTTGAAAACCACTGCTCTAGAATAATCCAAAAAGAAAAAGACTCTGCTATAAAATTTCCAGAAAGAGGCCTTTAAAATATCACTCTCAATCCCTGTCCTTTCAGATTTACACACAGGTTTGAGGTACCTTGGCAGGGCCATGAGTGAGCTGCAGAACAATCCTGATGGTTTCATTATGGAGTGGGCATTACCAACACTTTCAGACACCTAACCCTGGTGCCTCACTATATTTCTTTTTTTTTTCTTCTTCTTCTCCTCCCCCTCACCCCTTCAGGACAACCTGTCCCTTCATTATAAAAGAAAATGCAGGCGCGGGTTTAAAAAATGTATGTTGTGGGGACAGTTGACAGATTACTGCTGGTGGAACTCAATTTTACAACCCCAGGTATCACTGGCTCCAAGACAAACAGTTGATCAACCTTTTTTTGTCCTTGTACATCCGTACCCAGGTGACCATGTTCAAGCAAGCAGAAAGTTGATTTAAACCTCCTAATGACATCAGTTTTAAGCCATCATCTCTCCCGGATAAAAAAGAATTGTGTTGTAGCTCAATCGTGACTGAACGCTCTCGAGCCACTCTGCAGAGGAGGCTGGGGAGACCGAAGTGAGCTCCTGCTTCCTGAGAGAGAGCAGTAACTGTGGCCCACTTGACACCCAGCACCTAACGCCAGCAATACCGACATTTACATTCGTGCCGTCTTGGGCGCACACAGAGACACCCCTTAGACCCTACATATGCTTCTTCCTAATGTTGCAGGCGCTAATAGTTACAGCAGACTGCTAAGCAGATCAATCAATGCCACGACTCGTGAATTGCCTATGGTGTCTCTGATGCGCTGCTGCAGAGATTACACTGCATGCATCGCCACATTCATTTCTTTCACATTACACATGAGCTTGTCTTGTCACTGCCCAATTGCCCTCTTTTGGACAGCTTAACTGATGTACTGTAACAATGAACCTTAGTGAGCAAACTTAATAGTATAGGAGCGGTGGGAAAAGATGAGAGCAAGTGAGTGAGGCTTGAGTCCTGTGGGTGTGTCAGGAACAGCCTGCCATGTTTCCAACAATAAACCGAAGGGTGTAATTAATGCAGGTTCTAACATTATGCAAGCACAAAACATGCATCAGGCAGAGTGTCCTTCCTTTGCCCTGTGTTCAGTTCCCTCCTCTTCCCACCAGACGGCAATGGAGGGGCTGCCCCTCAGACACCAGGCAGCTCAGTGGACAAGGCCAGGACAGGTGGGAGGGCAGGAGGAAGTGAAAGGAGGAAAGAGCCGCAGCCCTCCGCATTAACAGCAAAGAAAACAACAACAAAAACCGTAAGGGACAGATGTTGGGTGTGGTTGACTCGGGAGACAAAACCCAAACAGGCACGCCTCACTGGCTCCATGCAACACCCAAAATTTCTAGACAAATGACTGCCTCTTCAGTACTACAAAAGAGACCCGTCATTCTCACCCTGCTTCCAAAGGCAACTGAATCCAAAACTTAGGAAGTGGGAGCTACCCTCTATCCAGTGGCAAGCACAGACCCACTAGAGCAGGAAGGGATGCGGGCCCTAAGGTGTGCAGTACCACACACAGTTGTGTTGGAGTATTTATAGGATTCCACTGTGGGTACCACCAGGAAGCAAGGATGCTCAAATCTCTCATATAAAAAGGTGTATGTCAAACTAGGCCTTAGTACACACCTAAATTCTCAGCTGACGTTCAGGGGACTGAGACAGGAGTTGGAGGCAAGCCTTCGGTTACAAAGTGAGAGATTCTGTCTGGAAAGAAAGACAGACAGAAAAAGAGGAAGGGAGGAAGGAAGAAAGGAAAGGAAGAGAGAGGGAAGGATACCATGGAATTTGAGGGAACCCATGATCATCCTATTTAAATTTAAATCAGCCCTACGTTACTTATGGTACTTAATACGATGTGACTAATTAAACCATTGTTATCTATGACTATTGATAGAATAACAGGAAAGGCATTTGTCCACGTTCACCATGTATATTAGTATGGCTTCTTTTCTTTCTTTCAATATGTACTTGGTAGAGTCTGAGAATGTGGACTGTGCATGCATGAGACAATGGGTATTTGGGACAAGGGAACTAGCTTTTAAACATAGCCATGGCCTTCTGACCTTCTTCCTCCCCTTTATTTTATTTATCTGTTTGTTTGTTTATTTATTTTGGTTTTTCAAGACAGAGTTTCTCCGTGTAGCTTTGCGCCTTTCCTGAACTCACTCTGTAGCCCAGGCTGGCCTTAAACTCACAGAGATCCACCTGCCTCTGCCTCCCAAGTGCTGGGATTAAAGGCGTGTGCCACTACCGCCAGGTTTCCTCCCCTTTTTTAGTCCTGAATAAATCAGAGCTGGTTACACCCACGGGGGTCTCCTAAGAATACCTACAGATTCCTGTTGTCTCTGATGCCAGCAACTTTTCCAAAAAGATTCAAGATATCTACTAAACAATGATACTTTTGGGGGCTGGAGAGATGGCTCATTGGTTAAAAGCACTGACTATTTCCCCACAGGCCTTGGGTTAGATTCCCAGCACCCATACGATGGCTCAAGGCTATTTGTAACTCCAGCTCCCGACGACCTGATGCCCTCCTTCTGGCATCCATAGGCGCTGTATACACACGGTGCACAGACATACATGCAGGCAAAACACCCACATGCATAATAAATAATTAGAGACAAAACAAAAAACAAAACAAACAAACAAAAACCCCACCAAAAATTCTTGATACTTTTCAAAGTTCATAAAAAATAACTGGAAATGAGTGCTCAATTCATTAGCTAAAAATCAGCAGAAAAAAAAATGTAAAAAAAAAAAAAAAGAAAGAAAAGAAACAGAAACAAAAAAAATATTCCACTGATTTTTTAGAAAGCAGACTGATTTTAACATCCATGGTGGAAATAAAATTGATAGTGTGCCTACATATTTAAAAAATAGTGTTTAGGGGACTGAAGAGATGCCTCAACAGTTAAGATTACTGGCTGCTCTTCCAGAGGCCCTGGGTGCGATCCCTAGCACAAACAGGGCAGCTTACAACTGTCTGTAGCTACAGTCCCAGGAGATCTGACACCTTCTTCTGGCCACTACAGGCATTAAGCACACACAGAGTGCACAGCCATACATGCAAATAAAAATGCAATAATAAATAGCTTTTAAATGGAGTTTATATAAAATCTTACTAAGATACTAAGCTTTAAATGAGGAGGTGGAGGCAGGAGGATTGTGAGTTCCAGGTTAGCCTGAACTATGTCAGAAATCCTATCTGAGAGAGGGATGGGGAGGGTAAAGAGGAAGGCAGGGGGAAAGAGAAGGGGTGTGTGTGCAGAGACAGAGACAGGGAGGAAGAAGGAAAGAACTCTGCATGTTGTAAAACATGTCTTAATATATAGGACTGAGCAGTGTGTTTCAAGAATATCTGGAACAGAAATGCCAGAGGACTGCACTGAAATATTTAGTCAGAGCATGGAACATTTGATTTCCGTTTTTCCCCAACACTGCAACACTGCCCCTGTGAGGATCCAGATCCCTGCCTCTTCCTCCTGACATCAACAGGCACTGAAAGAACCCATCTGCTTTTCTGGTTGTTTGCCTAATGTCTCTCTGTGCGTGTTTCGGGTGGGTACTTCTCTGCATCCCAAGCAGGTAGAGATCAAGAAATACCCAATCCCCTCTGCCCGCCATCTCCTCGAAGCTGACCACCCCCCATCCCCCTGCCCCGTAATGGATGCATACCTTGAGCAAGAGGTTGGAGGGGAAGGGCAGGCTGCCCGGGCTGAATTGTTAGAAGGCCTTGGCGCTGCAGGGACAGGAGGTGCTGCTGCTGCAGCTGCTGCATCTGTAGAAGCTGCTGCTGGAAAGCCAACTGCTGGGTAGCCACCTGCTGTTGCTGCAAGAAACAGTAAGGGGTAGAAATGAGATGGCCACTTTCCAATGAAGGTTAAAAGTGTGCATGTTTCAAAACTCGCCGCCATCTTCAAAAACCTGAGGACTGCAACCTGAGCTCGGCGGAGGGCTCAGTGTCGAGGTTTAAAAGGGACACAGCATACAGGTGAGGGGGCGGGGGGGGGGGGGGGAGTGTCTGTGTTAACTCTTCTGCTGCCCAGCCCTCTAGGGAAAGGATTCCTTTGACAAGCCTGCTCTCCCAACAGTAGGAAAAGCGTGACTTCTGTAGTCAGACATGAACTTTTGAGACTTTGAAATCTGTAATTATTCACACTAGAAAGGAGAGTGCATCCTTCTAGTCTGGAGGGACTTGAACCCGAAACCCTTGAGGTATGAAAGAGCAAAGATGCCCCCCTCCCTGCCTGCACTGGCAAGGGCCTTTCACTACTGTTTATCAGTCCTGACATAAATAAATGAGAAAAAATCAGACCTTTGAAGAAGAAAAACTTCATCTAATATTGTTAATTAGCCATGACAAACGATGAAATAACATTGTAAATCTTTCATAGAAACAGCCACTAGATTTTAATTACGAACATTCATAATTTAGCAAACAACATCGTACTCCACCATGAGAATTTAATGTGAACAGGCGCTCCAAGCTTTAGATCCTTCAGTTGGCTGGAGTTTCAGCCTCCCAGTTGTCCTGGGTCCCCCGCCCACTTTGTTCTCGAAAGGAGGGGCTTTATGATATGATAAATATCTCTGTTGTCTGGACAATGACAGGAGGAAAACTTTTGTTGTGTAAAACATCAATACATCATTCCTGTGTTTAGCAGGCTTTACCCCAGCCAAAAAAAATTAATGTAGATTTCCTCAGTAATTATCTGAGTGATAGAAAGATAATACGGTGCAGGAATACAATAAATAGAAGGAAATTATCTAATATCCTTAATCTGCTAGGAATCATATCGAGGTGGAGGTCTTGGCTACATTATGGCTAACAATTAGAAAGGCAAAATTAACCCTTTCCAAACTGAATCCAAATATGTATCTTTAAAGAACACACAAAAGCTCTTGTGAGTTCTGAATATTATTCCAAAGGTCAGCAACACTTTTGCAACTAAGATGACGGGTGTTTGTAGAGCCTGCTTGGCTTAATAACGATACTTTACAAACAACCGCATTCACTTAACCTAACACATGACCTTGATCTGATATGGCCATAAAATGGTGTCTGCACCAAGACCTTCTGATGCAAAGTTCAAAGGGAGAGAAAAATGGTGGTTTCCTTTTGGCCTCTATGTAGTTTATTTTACAGTTAAAAAAAAAAAAGGAGAAAAAAAAAGCCATCATCCTCATATTAGTAACCAATTTCAGACTTACCACCATGCCACTGAGAAAGTTAATTGAGTTTCACTCCAAAAAAACAAATTCTATACCACGAACAACAAAAATTTAAATAAATTGAAATGAAAAGCCAGTCCTTTCATTTTAAGAACAGCATGCAGAAAATGATCCAATTGTTTCCACCCCTTCCCAAGTTGCCACATTAATGTGAAACCCAGTGATGGCCATATTCGTGTCAAAAGGATTTTTTCACTTCTTCAACAGTTATTAACTCATGACATTAAAGACGGGGGACACGGACACCGTCAAAGACTGGGGAATTAGCCCCTGTTGAAGTCAGATATAAAGGGGGGTGGGGGGAGGCTGGGGCGGGTGCTTCCTGTCTTACTGTAAGTGAATGTTTAAAAACTGTGTATTTATATAAAATGACTGATGCCTTTTTCTGTTGTCCGTGGCCATCCCTAGGAAAGGCCCATGAAAGCTGTCCACGTCTGAAAAGCCAGGATATAAAAGTATACAAGGCCCATTGTCCAAAGAAGAATTTAAAAGCAACGCCGGTTGCCAAACCGTGCTCCCCACCCAGTTACCAAACACAGGATACGAGGCCGTTTGTTTACTTCTCACAGTTGAATGCATACAAAAAAGGTCTCTGCACAGTCCCCGACAGGTCAGCAGTCAGTGCTAAAATGCTCAAATGCCCTGATAAAGCCTTCGTTTCGGGTCCCCTCCCTGGAGCTGCAGTCAAAGGTCTGTTTTCCTTTCTTTGGCTACTCCCCACTGCCTAACATAAACTGTTGTAACTGCCCAGGACAAACGGCCCTTTTCAAACAATCAGCTTAGGCACCTCACCGCACAGGATGGCACCCCCACATACACCCAGCGAGATTTTAAAACGACCTCTTCCATCTACTTTCGAAACTCTGCCGAGGCCAGGATCTAGAAGCCGCTCTTCTGCGGTGTCCTGGGCTACATCTCTGACCCCAGCACCTAAGCCCCAAAGGAGCATCTTGGGTCTGGTTCAACGTGAAGTCAAACTTCCCAAGGTGTTATCAAACACACCTTCAGGGAAAAAGACAGCTGAGGTATGGTGTTCTGGCTTTGAGTCCACAGTCACAAAAAGGAGGAACACAGGAGAGGAAGTACCTGAAGGCAGAAAATGATGGCCTTTAATCATTTAATCACAGTGCATTCCATAAAGGAACACACCAGCTCCATTGGCCAATGTCTCTGCGCAAAACTCGTCAAAAATTATCACCAGCAGGCCACACCACACAGCTGCCACCACGTGACTCTTTCCCCGCGGCCCAGGAGGACCATCACTGGCATTATGACTTGGGGACACAAGCTCTTGACATCGCAGAGAAGCAGGATCTCCTAACTACTGGTACAACACACAGTCCAGTGGTGCCATGAAAACCCAAGGACACACTTGTCTGACCCCACCTGTCTGCCTTCCTCTAGTTACACTGAGGCCACACCAGGCCATGGGCCACAACAAGCCCACAGTCCTCAAGACGCAAACAATAAACACAAACAAACAAACAAACAAACAAAACCAAAAACCTACTACGATGCATAACCCTCCCTGCCTGTGGGCACAACATGATCCTCTGGCCATCACTCCCGGCCCAAATCAAGATGTCACTAGCATGTTTGTGTCCCCGCTTCCTGACAGCAGCACTTGGGGAACTCTCTTCTGCTGGGGAACTTCCCCTGCGCCTTCTCCTTCTGGAGCCCTCAGAGCTCATCGGAACTTTCATGTCTTCCCAGCACGCGGACGACGTGCTTTCCAAACTCTGTCTCCAAGACCAAATACGAGGTTAATGAGGAGTGGGACGGGGAGGAAGAGCACAGCCCCCGGTAACTGATAAGAGTGGCAGTGGCAGCGGCCCTCTCCAGTGCGTCTTCAAATAGAGAGTTAAAGATCTTTAAAAAACTAAATTTTGATGCCTTTGAAAAGAGAGAGGCACAAAATAACAACAGGGGGTTATTGCCTGCGAGCCACGGGGGAGAAGCTCCATAATTCTTCTTCTCCCTTTTGAAGGCTGTGAGAAATCTGATTCAAAAAAGCAACAGCAGAAGGGGAAACCTCTTGAGGCTGTAACCATTTCCTGTGATCATGCATAATGCGCTTCCAAAGTGGGTTTTTACCAATTCTGTTGATCAATTGCGCCTCCTTCATAGCCCTTCTTTTTTCTGCTGTGTTTACATCTGATGTGACTCAATGACAAGCACTGTCTGAGACTGTGAAACAGGCCTGTCATGTTGATTTATGGGCGCATCAAACCCCAACTTGTCCAAACTGAAGCTCGCAGTTCATTAATTAGAGAGTTGTGACTTTGAAGTCAGCTTTCAGACTGTGGTTTTTAACATTTGGCTTAATTTATATGCTCTTGAATGTGGATCTCTAAGGGAAAAAACTGAAATTCCCTCCTTGTCTTTGAACTTCTTTTGACCGCACAATAATCATTTCTTTGTCCAGAGTGATGCCTGCAATCCCAGAGTCATTAAGGCGCATTGAACTGCCACTGATGAGTAAGCCCCGCTGAATTAGAAAAACAGCCAGGAAAACAAAGCTGAGAGCCTTCTGCAGGGTGATATCTCACAATTACATGCCTTCCCTCCCCGTGCCATTTCCATTTTAATTACTGTTAGTCCTTTAGATTTACATTTTAGACACTTTTTAATCTGTTCCCTTTTTTATTAGAGCCGCGCCTGGTAGCGAGCTACTGTCCTTAAGGTTGCGTCAGCGTTTTCATTAATATGCCTCCTCCCCTTTACCCCCAAACTGCCCCTGCTCCGCGGGGGGTTTACAAGCAGCCTGCTAAACAGGACTCCCGGGTGGGGAAGCTTGGCAGAGCATAGAAAGCGTACCCAATTTGTGTAAAGGGAGGAGCTGGCATGGGGAGGAAAGTCTGGGAAACTCCCATGTGGAAAACGATCATCCATACTCCTGTGAGGGGCAGGGATGGGGAGTCGGTCACCTGGCAAGACTCCCTCCACAAGGGCCAAGCAGCTAACTGGGTAGAGCTGGCAGAGAAACCCAGGAAGTGGGTAGCATTCTGTCCATGGAGTCATACATTTTGTGGTCGCAAACGAGAGAGACACCGACAGAGAAGCTTTGGGACCACGGTGAAAAGTGAAAGGGTGGGTGTCCTAGTACCTAGGCAGCTCCCCAAAGTGACAGCACCTCAAATTCATGGAAGCGTACCGAAGGCGAAGTGGGGACGAACCCCTGGGAAAGTCTCCTGGTGTATGGATCTCCACGTATTATCACCTGCCTGGGCAGTGCAGCCAAACGCAGTACATAATGGACACTAGGAAGAACTGGGGCGTAGAAGTAAACAGCGCAGTGTTGGTTGGTCTGTTTGTTGTCTTTCCTGGTGAGGTACAGGTGACCTGAGACAAAGTCCCCTAACTTTAAGCCATGCTACCTAGGGCATGCATTAGGCAATTAGGGCATGCTCACCATGCAAGGGGTCAAATGAAGACAGGGAAGCTTCACCATGTTCTAAATGCCTTGCGTGCTTGCCTGACCTCACGAGAAGTTAGCTCACCAATGAAAAAAGGCCACTGCCACCTGCCCAAACATTTGAGTTCCACAAACAAACAAACAAACAAACCAATGATTAAATGATAAGAGAAAAAAAACAAAACAACTAAGCGTGTGTCCTTTTCAATTTTGTTTCTCCCCATCCTGGCTGATGGCGTGCTGGTCCTCCATGGTGCCAAAGGAGCCCAGAATACCGCTGATGATGCCGTCACCACACAGAGGTACACTGTGGTGGTGAGGTAAAGTAAGGAATCGAGAAATCTTAGCACAAACAGGACAATAATTCTTGCTCTGAAAGCCGAGACCTGATAGAGTCAGCTGAGTTGGGCAATCATTGAAAAGATGAATGACAGTTTAATAGCCACTAGATAGGCCCCCGAGACCTGTGGTTTCAAAGTAAAATGCGCATCGTCGGTACCTCTTTCGGCTGTTTTCCAGCATGTTGCTGTTGGAGAAGTTGAAGCTGCAACTGTTCTTGTTGTTTCTTATAAAATTCTTGAAGCTGCTGCTACAAGAGAGAGAGGAGGGGACGGTAAGTGGCAGACGACCGAGGCCCGCGGTCCCTCTCCACGCCATGCACAAACTGTGATTTGAAAAATAGCATCCTTTTATCTGGAATGGCCTGACCTTTTACTTTGAAACCTGACAATAAATTCCACGCACACTGACTATTCTTGGCATTAAGGTCTGAGGAGTAATCTCAAAAATGAACTGATGAAAAACATACCATTTTCTACACAAATTAATTAAAATAAGGCAGGGGATGACCTTTGATTGCACAACAAAGCCAAGATGCCCTTGCAGCGTTTGGTCAGGCTCTAGTACAGGCTTTCTAAATTATGGGGGGTGGGGGTGGGGCAAGGAGGGTCCCACCCTTGGATGTTTCAACAATGTTGGGAACTTGCTTTGAGTCTGTCCTCCCCATTCTATGCCAGTGACTTCTATCCCTGTGGCAGCCAGCCTCATCTGTTGGGTTCAGGTTGCCTCTTAACCCTGAGTCTTATGTCCCCAAGACACAAGGACAGCCACAAGTTTATCAGAGCATCCGTCTGTGTAGAAAAAGTAAACTCTGTGCCTTTAAATTAATGAACTCCAAAATGTTTCTTCACGGGTCCAAGAAACAAAAAAAACAATTCAAGGTAAGACTTGGAGTTCAGATGGGGACTTCAGGAGCTGACTATGCAAACTTGCTTCCAATGGGCACCTCGGGTTGCTTTGATTCATCTCAGCTGACTAACTAAGAGTGTAAAGCCACATAAGTCTGAAAGGTCGCTCCCTACCAAGTCCAATCACAGCCCTAGTCTTGGTCCACAGTGCACTCTCCAGACCCAAGCCTTGGACCTGTGGCATCATTCTGCTCCTTCAGGGGCAGAGAGGATGCCATTCTTCTCACTTGGGGGACCAGGTGGAGTTCTGTATCACTCAGCCTGCCAGCCACATTAATTCTTCAGTTGTCCAGCTGTGCGGACCAAGGGGTACTGTGAACTGAGCTGTGGGGGCAGGGTGGGCAGGAAGAGGACAATTACCTGTTGAAGCATGAGGGCCTGCTGCTGCTGGAGAAGAACCTGGAGCTGCTGGGGGCTCAGCACTTGCTGCTGGAGGATCTGCTGCATTTGCTGGGGAGTGATAACCTGAGGTGTCATCATAGCCACTGACACGGGGACCTAGAACATTAAGGGAGGGTAAGTAGGAAGCCAGGAAATCACACACCCTCAGCCTCCCAGGGTCTGCCTACTTCAAGAACTGACCCATCTTCCATGTAGCATGTATTTATCGTGAAGAGATAAGACCACAAATCCTATACAAACCCTGGTGCCATTATCATTATCGATTTTATTGTGATGTTGTTGCTCAGTACCAAACTCAGGCCATCCCAGATGCCGGGCAAGTCAAGAAATGGGAAAGAAAATCTTGCAGCCAGGATGGCTTCATGGGCAGAGAAGGAAGCACACACCTTAACAAGTGCTATGAGGATCAGGGGCGGATCCATCCTTATTCACAACAGATCTCTAGTCAAAACGAGCTGCGAGTTTACCTGCACTTCAGCTTTGTTTTAGGGAGAAAAATTGAGGAGGAGCCAAGAGCTCTGCAGCCCGCCACTGGTATGACCCACTTCCCGCGTGGACAGTGATTTTCACATTTTCAGAATCATCAAGGACGCGTAAAGGCCTGGGTTGAAGGGCGGCGAGGAAAGAATCATGGACACACCTTCTGAACTTAAAACGTGGGCGCTTCCTAGGATGCTTTTTACCCTTCCTTATTCACCCAGCACACAGATGTCTCAATTCTTTCATATTACGTGTGATACCGGTAAAAGCCGCTTTCCATGACATTTCAGTGACAAACAGCTACAGTGATGAACTTGATAGCATTTCGTATTTGCAACTGTTAACACGTTTCTGCACGGGCATCTCTGCAAGGAACCTGCGCACTGTATCTGAAAGGATGATGTCTTGTTCAGATAAAACACTGACATTAAAATGACAGGCTGTCTTGGCCAAGGTTACACAAATTGTATTCAAGCGGATACCTAATGACAATGCTACAGATTCTGCGAGCTTTCTAGAATGTAATTTAGCTATTCAAAATAATCACTGCACTTGTGTTTAATTTTCACACGACATGAGAACCATTTTGTCAGTCCCCGTAATCCAAGAAGACTACTTCATGAAAAATCACCCCCCTAAAAAGATAAGAAAAAAAAACAATAAAAGAAAAGACAAGAGCCAAATGTCTCCTAAGAGTAATATTTAAGCATCTTACTTTTCTTTGGGTTTTTTTTTTTTTTTTTTTTAGCATATGTGCCATAAAGACACTAGAAGCTGTAAAGGATCTATACTTTGTTAAAAAGGGTCTACTGTCACCTCATGTATTACAATAAAAGGTAATAACATGTTTTGCACTTTGCCTGTGTGCCACTTTAAAAAAAAAAAATCCTGCAGACAATAGCTGATCAAAAGATAAAAGAATTAAAAAAAAAAAAAATCTTCCGGGGGAACAGTAAGCAAAAGAGAGACGGAGTGTTAATTTTATGTAACGTAATGTCTTAATATGCAGTTTATCTTGACTTTTTCACATGGCTTGCCCTGTCATTTGCATAGCCAGCTCTCATTCCTAATTTCACACTCATTATGCACTGATGTCCCGATTTCTCAGCATCACTAATTTTGATGAACTAAAAATGGTTCCTGAAGGTCAGACTCACATACAGTGAGCACTCTCCACCGCTGTTGTGGCATGTTGTGTGTTGGGGGGAAGTTGGGGGAGGTTCGTGTGCAAGTTTCACGTGTTTAGAGAACACTAGCTAGAACACTCAAAAAAAATTTCATTAACCCAACTCGGGGAGGTCATCCATGAATTCTTCCTACTGCAGTGGTCTTTTAAGTGTAGATGTAGTTACACTGTAATTTAAAACAGATGGGCATGTCTGAATATTTTTATATGCAAAAAGGGACAGATGTATATGAATGGATAAATTATCCTTTTAAAAAGATAATTCGCAGCATGAAATATCACCAATGATTGGAACACTGAACTTGCGTACAGTCTAGGGCAAACGCCAAGAAGACATTATCAAAACATCTAACCATGTACGCACTAATTCCAATTAGTCGACTTTGTCTTCATCCAGAAGAAACTTTCTGAATTTTTAAATATGCACTGGGTGCCAATCTCGATCCTTGGAGTTCCTGAAGCCAACATATCACAATAGAAGTTTACTGTTCCTTGAGAGTCGCAGGGCCATACAGGAGGCTCACTGGAGCAAACAAAGAAGCCATGTTTAAGGTTTCTTTTTCCCTCTGCATTTCTTGGATGGCGTACAACACAAATACTCGTGAGCCAAATGTCTAATGGCGATGGACAGGAAAACAGACAGGAACAGGGTGGTGTAAAACCAGAGCTGGTGATGCACACGAACCTGAGAGAACAGTGGCAGAGGAACAGTACAGAAACAATCCCCTCATCATCATTTTTAAAAGTGGTCTGGAGCCCCTGGGCTAGAAAGGGACACAGGTAAATTTGGGGGGCTGATGGGAACACTATAAGGGCCACACAGATTCCTGAATGTCAAATCTCTTCCAGCTAGATAAAGAACATAGTCTACAGTATATGCATTATACTTTAATAAAGGTGATGTAAATCATTGTAGGTAATGCATATATTTTACTGGATTTTTTTAATCATGTATTTTTAAAGCATTTTACTTTTACACCAGGTAAAATAGTACGTGTCTTTTAAAATGAGAAATGGCATGGCCCCTTGACTGTCAATAAAAAAGGGTGACCAGGGAAAGATTGGCAGGTGCAGGTGATTTTTAAGTCTTTGCAGAGAGCCAATGGTCTCCAGCTCCTTTTCCCACAGCTACTTCTTCATTGTTGGCAGTCGAACTGCAGAACAGTAGAATGAACTTGACTCTCCCCTGCTTGTTCCCTTTGGACACTTTGATAGAGGGTCTGATGAGTAATAAAACGCTTCAAGCAGCAGGCGCAGCCCAGCCAGGGACAGGCGCAAGAAGCCTGAGTAACCCTCCCAACTAGTGGAGCGGTCCCTGAGTAATCAGACGTGGGCCATTATATCCTGATGGCTTGAACTTTGCTTTTACTATCTGAAACCACAGTTTCACACCAGTTAGCTCCCAGCCACCAAAGTGGGCCAGGGAGCTTCATTTAGAAATGCAGTAAAACAGATTTTGGTTACTACCCCCCCCCCATACACACACACACCCCTCAAGTTTCTGCACCAATATATCAGTAGAGGAGGCTGTAGCAAGGTTTCACAAAAACATTCGAATGAACTAGAAACCATAGTGGGGTAGAAAAGACAGGAGAAAATCGGAGCACAGTTTAAGGTTTTAAACAGTTAAGAATTATGGCCTATATATCCACTCCCTTAATTCCCAGTGTCCAGCTTTCTCGTGTAGCTAGTCCCTCCTAATACTAGGAATCAAAGGGCATGCAGTACCAGCGAGGGGCTATTACAGCCCACACTTTATTACCCATTACTACTGAGGTCATTAACGGCAAGAGTGATTGTCGCAGCCCTCACCTATTGATCACTGTAACTGCTATCATTTAATCCTGTGTTGAATGTCTGGAAAGCGGCTAAAGCACACGAGAGAGAGTGGTTTAGCATTGAGAAATATGGCCAAAGCTTAGAAATTACACTTTGATTCATAAAATCTAGCCAGTGGTTTAAATCAATAGTATTTAAAACAGTCATGTGAGTTTTTAACTACAGCCGTCTAATATTTATAGGGCTCTCATTGAAAGCATTCCACAAAAACTAAACTTTGTCGTCCACCCCCCACCCCACCCCCAACCCTGACACCCACCACCTTACCCTCCCGGAGAAAAAAATTCATTTCTGATGCTCCATGTAGCTACAAGGGCTTGAGCCTTATCTGGGAGTTGAAGCTTATTCTTGATTTTTTTTTTTCCCCCTCAGAAGACGATTTAAATATCAGGCAAGGAGAAAAATTATCCCTGTACTACAGCTATGTCAACCGTATGAGTGTGCAGAAATGAGTGTGCTGCATGGGGCTGTATGAGCTCACAATGAATCACAGGAGGCAATTTATGAAGACCTAGAATGATTCTGTCTAGCTGCCTTCAGGGATCAGAAATTCGAATAAAACTTCTGGCAGACATTTAAAGAGTGCTAGCCTGAAAATACTGAACTGAAACACACAGATGCACCTACAGAGTTGTGACACTCTTTATTTGAGCTTCCAGGGGATATCAGGAATTTCAAAAAAAAAAAAAAAAAAAAAGTGAAAACAGTGCAGGATATGCTGATGACTGACAGCGCTGGGGTGTGGCCTGTCCCAGGTGCACACAAACCCTCCCGAATGGCAGCCATACAGCTGTGCTCGGCCATCAGAACGTGGCTAGTATGGGCCTGCTGCTACTTAACACCAGCAACTAGGGAAGCATCTTCTGCACCAGCAACTGCTGGTGAGGCCCAAGCACTGCTGGCCCAGTTTCCTTTTTCTCCAGGAGGACTCGGTACTGTTGGAACCCTGGCAGACCATTCAACAAGGCACGCAGGCTGCTTTCTTCTTTCTCTTACTTTCAAAAGTGGGGGAAGGTAGGCAATGGGGAAGAGGGATGTTGAAATTTCAAAAGCAAACAAACAAATAAAAAAAAAAAAAAACCACCACTCATAGAAACAATACTTGGAATCTAGGAGACAATTGAAGGAATTGGGTGGGAGACGAGATGACACTGTATGAATACTGAAAATAACATGTTATCATTTCTTTCTCTCCCTTCCCTTTACACTGAAGGGCACTACAAGTAAGCCCTGCCCAGCACAAATACACAGAGACTTTGGACGGTCACATCCTCTCATAATTACTGTGTATACAAACCGTATAACTGAGATGGTAAAAAAACGCAACATCCCACTTCAATTTCATTAATTATCTATCATAGTGTCTCCATTAAATTATTTTCAAAGCATTACTTGGAAACTGTTTTTCAACCTCTGATCATGAGCCACATGTGTGCCCCCAGAAACTCACTTCCCTTCCACACTTCCAGCGGTGTTTGGGAGGTAACTGGTACACGCAGGCCGTGTCACCCAGTCAGCCACAGAACGAGAGCAAAACAAATTAAATTAGGAGGCTCGAGAATGTCAAAACAAAAGCAAACAAAGAAAATGG